AAATTGCATTTGGCTCCATATCTACTTTGTGTAATGCAATCACAGCGATCCGGTTCTCTTTATCACCCCACTTCATTTTAATATCGCAAAATATTGTACAATGTATTGGCACCAAAATGAGAAAACTCAATGAGCAATCATATAAAAATGACAGATTCCAAATTCAAATGTAACATTTGGTTTATTTTTAATTGCAACAGTATTTATGGCCAGACTAAGTATATTGCCAAACTGTCTGTGAGGCTACCGAAGACATCTCGTGAGATGGATTTATGAGACTGACGGGTCTCGACGCGACTCCCCATCGACCCAACTCATCCGAACAACCTTCTAAATGACAGTCCTTGCAATTGTTTTGTGCGACTTTATACTGAATTAAAAATGTACCTAAGTCTCTTGTTAGAACATGCCACTTCAGAATGACAAAATACCGTAATTGTTGGAGACCCAAATTGGCGTATCCTAAACCGCATTAGGGACACGCTGTCTCTGTCACTGTCGCTAAAAGCAATAGCCACGAAAACTGTGGAATTTAGTCATATGAAATCAACGCTCCATACAGCCCCAACCGTATGAACTTGTCCTTTATTTGCCGACGGAAACATATTTCGTTTTCGTTGTCGTATCACTTTTGTCTGAGCGGTCGAGGTCCTCATTCAGTAGCTGTGGGCTAATATTATGCGCCTCACGAGCAATCACCACTTCTCCCGGTCTGTGGCGACCCTGATACACTCATGCAAACAGCCGCCAACTACCGACTTGATTTGGTGGGTCCATCGCATGGGCAGCCTTCCACGCGGTCTGGTGCCTTCTACTTTGCTCTGAACGACATGGCATAACGAAACATATACGACACACAAAAACACCCACCGCGACCAGGATTCGAAGATATCGTGGTATAGCAGTCAACCAATAAGGCCATCAAGATAACATGATAAAAAAATTCCCGATACAAGCAAAAACCAATACTAAATCGAGTCACTTTATTTGGTACATATATCTAAGGTTGAAGGCGATTTTTCTACGCCAGCTGTTCAGACCCGGACTAATGGCCTAGACACCCGATACCCTTGTAAGGGGACGTGCTCCTTCGTTCGATGATATTGTAGTTATCGTCATACACGTAATAGCCTCGCGAGTCGTGGTAACTAAAATCACATTTCCGGCTTAATTTCTGTTTTTATATTTTCATTTCACAGTTGACGATTTAACAAACACATTTTTGTGTTTAAGGACGATTAAGGTGTTAGTTGTCTGATTTCTAAAGGCAAAAGCGATTTAATTGTTGCATTTTTTTTTCTGTTTGTTGACGCTAGTCTTCCGAACTATTTCGATATAGTTCTCACAAGCAGATTGTGGTCTATTTAGAGTAGAATATAGACCATATTTCATTAAAAGCGGACGTTACAAAAAATATTGTCGTAATTTCTGGAAAATACTTTTACACTCTTAGATTATAGAAGTTAGGGGTGTTAGGTTTTATTTTCGTTACGGAATTTCTTGATTCGGTCGCCGCGCTCAAAGCCCGCGATAAAAGCTATGCAATCGCTTAAAGTTATAAACAACCTATCATTCCACTGCTGAGGGTAACCGCACGATATAAAACGTAGCCTACGCGGATGAAGCCGTACTATAAAAGCTAGTTTCATCATAGATGCAAAACATAATAGTATTTCGTGCTTACAGAATCTATCTGATTTTTTAATTTCATTGTTAACTGAAATTTACAAAACAAGCTCACGATCTACCTGATACTATGTCGTTACTGAAGCCATTTCATTATCACTACCTTATCACGGAAATACTCCGCCAAACCGTACTAAGTTTTTCGGGACGAAGTTCCCTATGGGACGATGCGGAGGGGTACCCTAAGCGGGAAAAAACGTCCATAGCGTAAGATTTTTATTAGTAATGCACACAGTATACGACTTAACTTTATAATAACCTACAAAAAATAACATATATTTTTATCATTAATTGACCACGATCTCAGAGCGTTCGTTTGCGCAATACACTAACTGTTATGCAAACAACCGTGAATAAAGTGTACCACAATAAGTTCGCACGTTACCGAATGACCGTGGGTTGTTGCGAAACCTCCAGTTTTATTTTCTTTATACCTTGAATAGAACTTAAAATTAATATTTTTATAATAAGGAACTTCGTTCCTATCCGGTGTCCCACGACACCACACATCTTTTTTTATTTATTGCTTAGGTGGGTGGACGAGCTCACGGCTCACCTGATGTTAAGTAGTTATCGGAGCCCATAGACATCTAGAACATAAATGCAGCCACCTACCTTGAAATAATCGTTGTAAGGTCTCAGTTTTTACGACTTTACGTTCTTTTTTGTACCCGACGGGAGGGTGTCCGCTTAACAACAAACGGGCTGTCAAATAGTACACCCATCTACGACGAAACACTCTATGACAGACATTAATTAACCAGATCAGAGTTCAACTGAATCGATATTCTTGTCAACCGCGCATACAGTCGAGCCGTTCGATGTATTTAGTGACACAAATCAGACTATACAAACAATTTGTTCTACTTATTGCAATGTGTTTAAACGATTTTCTGTTTGATTTAATATATATAATTTTTTTTATATATCTGAACTTCCAGTAAATCCAATAATTTTTTTTTTAGTACAAGTGTGTGTTAATAACAGCTATTTAAAAGCGACCATCAGTCATATAATACATTATTTTATTATTATAATAAAAATAATAAATGCAAGATTATAATAATAATAATAATAAAGCCTTTTATTTCCCATCACCTAACATGTAAATATTCTTAATTATATAGTAATATGATTTTTACATTTTGACCTATTTTCAGATTTTTTTTATTTTTTTTTTATTGTCGTCTACTTGATTTCATTAATGCAAGATTAGAACGTAAAAATAGTATTAATTATACCTAATATTAGTAGAAGATAATACTAATAATAAATATCATTAATAAATTATGTTAGTCAATTTTCGTAGCAAGTAAACATAAATTGACAAAAAAATAATCAACCAATTTAAATGGTCCCATCCTTCTAAGTGGTCTCAACTAATTTTAGTAGTCCCAACCTATTTTAAATGTCCTAACCTATTTAAATGATCCCAACCTATATAAACTGTCCGAACTTATTTAAATAGTCTCAACCTATTTAAATGGTCCTAACCAATTTAAATGGTCGTAACCTATTTGAATGGTCTCAACCAATTTAGCTGCACATCAAATTAGTCAAGGGGTTACTGAAAATTTATTCAGTTACTGTCTTCTGAACATTAATGCAAATGAATACTATACAGGTAAAATGTATCAAAATAATGTATAAAAATAAAATGTAGTAATGTAAAAATAAAATGTACTGCTTGAGATACAGGTTTTATCACCTAGTTCAAGCACAGATGCAAATTATGATTGTGTTTCTAGTTCTATGTTAACAATAAATAAATAAATGATCACACACATAAAGGTCACACTAATTTGTTTGAATAACTCAAACCTGTACATAGAAACCCGTAATATAAACACAAAATTACATTTTAATATTCCCAATTACCCCAAAAGACAAGGTCGTAATTCTCAAAGTATAGACATTACCGTCTGTGAAAAACATTTTTTATTAAAAAACTCTACGGCATCTCTTAATTTAAGTAATTAAGGTATTGGTTCGTATCGCACAGTTCAATAAGGAGCTTAACAATCGTTAAATCACTTCTAAACATCAAAATTTATTTATGTTCTTCTCATCGATGTCAATTTAGTTATTATTATTGTCAGTCTCACATTATCTATATCTTAATACGTGAAGCAAAAACTATGTACCCCTTTTTATGAAAATTACACAGATGGACGAGGAGTGCATCATTTTAATATTTTTTTAAATTATGCATAAAAATACATTAAATCAATAAAAAAATACATTACATACACTACTACAATGTATTTGACACACACACGCATGCATACTATTTGATTATTGTCAAACTTTTCATATTGCTTATAGTCTGTGGTCAAATTGAGAATAGATTTGTTTTTCTTTATTAATATTTGTCTAAAGTGTAGTCTTGGCGAAATCTGTGATTATAGAAGTAATAGTCTTTGACAATAGAACCATAATAGTGTACAAACTTATTTCAATTAATTATAGTCGAATTTCGACTGCCGTGAGACAACTAGTTCATATTAATTTGTTTAAGGCATATTATATTCGACATTCGTCTTTTAAAGGCTTTTCTACTACTCGGATCGCGTTTCCGATCCGGCGGTAGATTCAGCGAAGCACTGCTCTTGCTAGGGCTGATGCTAGCAAAGCTTGCTAACATTTGTTTGCAAACAATTTTATTTTTAATTAAAGATTTAGTTGTAAACAGATGTTTAGTTAAACATTAAAGTATTAAACTTTTATTGAAAAGGCAAGAGAAAAGATCCGATCATTACAGAACGCAGTGGAACGTAACTTAATTTCCGTGGCAGCGCATAGTATATTCTATTCAATTTCGTCTGACTCTACACACTGAGAGATCCGTAAAGATTATTGTCTAGACTTAATGCTTCTGAAATTCGATCGATTTGTCGCCATCCGAAATCCCTTGGTAACTTATTTGTTTTTTTTTTTATATGAGTATCGAACTGTTTTCTTTAATATCCTGTAGTTAGGAACATTTGCATCACTCGATACGAATGCACTGGGCGTCTTATCCTCTAGGCCACGACGACTTCAAATTCGTACACATCTATATATATAAAATGAATTGCTGTTCATTAGTCTCACTAAAACTCGAGAACGGCTTTTTTTTTTTTTTTTTTTTTTTCACAGGAGAAAATCAAAAATTTTGGTATTTTATTTATCGATTGAGGCACTACGAAGTCTGCCGGTTCAGCTAGTGTCTTATAAATTTTTTTAGAAACTTTACAGAATGTAATCGATTTATCTTAAATTTACCGAGAAAAAAAAAACTAAAGAAAGTACTTTCAAATAATTGCTTGTTACAGTTGCAGCTACGACTTCCTGGAGATCATCGAGGTCGGGGTGGAGAACGCCACCGACCACTCCGGACAAGACTGGCTCATCGACCACCAGGACGCGTTCAGCTCGGAAAATGAGGTAGCCCTTATAAAATGCTCTACTAGAAATATTTTATACGAAACGTATTTTTCTTTGCTCATATTATCATCATCATCAGCCCTGAGTCGTCCACTGGACATAGGCCTCTCCCAATCCACAACACTAAGCCCAGTCCTTGACTCTCCTCATCAATCTCTTGCCGGGCATCTTTATATATTTCTTTCCTCATATAACGTGTAAACAATATTGTGGTCGCATTTTTTTGCAAAATGACTATGCCCAAAAGTATCGGTACCACCGTTCTACCTATTTCTGTCACCTAGCAATTAACGCTTCCTTGTACTATTGAGTAGCACTTGATCCAACGCAACTTAGACTTCTGCCTTCTGTCTAGAGTTAGTATGTCTGAAGTATTCATATCGTGTTTTTATTTTGATTTATTTCAAATGGGGGGGGGGGTGGACGAGCTCACAGCTCACTTGGTGTTGAGTGGTTACCATAGCCCGTAGACATCTACAACGTAAATGCCGCCACCCACCTTGAGATATGAGTTCTAAAGTCTCAGTACATTTACAATCGCTGCCCCACCCTTCAAACCGAAACGCATTACTGCTTCACGGCAGAAATAGGCAGGGTGGTGGCGTGACCTAACTGCACGGACTCACAAGAGGTCCTATCACCAGTTGTTAATTGGATCGAGTAAGTAGAGAGCTCGTCTACCCATAAAGCGTTTCCTATTGAAAATTTGTTTAGTGTTTGATTTCCCTTTCTCGTTAAAAGGCGAGCCCTAATATAAAATAATGGAAGATCTGTTAATTAAGTTTTATCAAAACTTGACATTCGATTTAAAACTTATCGTTCAATTCAACTTACAACTCAAGCCGAGAGTTGTGGACACGATTCATTCATTTTTCAATTTTCAACATTAAAACATTCGTATGTTGAACCGATTTCTTTGCTCTTTATCTGGGTTTTTATTATCGATATATATATACATATTTACTGTAGACGCGAGATGAACAAACTACGAAAATATTTGAAATTTGGTCGTTGCAAATGAAGGACACAGACTGCGGGAAGAAACGATAAGAAGCGGCAGTTCTGCGTTAAAGGAAGGATGCACAATACCTTTATGTAGTCCTTGCTGCAGACTCGTACCACTCCGCGATGAGAAACACCAACGATTTCACTTATTTACGTATTTAATATAACAAAGATACGAAGCGCGCGCGCGGTTTTTCAGCCATATTTTTTCGTCTCGATGTCACCACACGATCTCGCTCACACGCGTCCGTAGGTAAAGTGCCGGAGAGGGATGGGACAGGATTTGCAAAACCAAATTAAAATGTTGCTATTTTTCGAAACCTAAAACTAACTAAGTTTTAAACCAGCGCAACCACTTACATATATATATAGAAGTATGTATCCGGTACCCATAACACAGGAAGCCTAATTTGGGGCAAATCAAATCAAATGATTTGATTCATCTATTTGGAATGTAACTAACTTATTTCTGAACAGATATTAATTGAGTTAATTACTGGACTGTATTTCTGTTAAATTGTTTATTATTAAGACACATCCACACGCCACGGACTGATTCTGCTCGCCAGTAAACAACAATTTGTTTTACTTTCATCGGATTAGTATGGCATTAAGCAGACATATTCCCCAAAAGCTTTAAGAACTCACGATCAAAATACAATTAATATTCAATTAACAACCATAATAATATTGTGGTCATTTGTATGTACGACAAATGTAATTGTTTCGAACGAACAATGAGTTGAGTGAAGGCCGTCTAAAGATGAATAGATACGGCATGCGGATAATCCTACGAAGATGGATTACTATTGCTTCATTCATTAAATTAGACGCGAAGGCTACAGTATATTGCGTCGTTGGGATTAACATTTTTGTATGGGATTATAACGTTTCATATTTATTCTGCGCTACAATTCAGTGTGTTCATCAATTTTAATGATGGTATTGCTAAAAAAATGAGCTATCGCGAGATGGCTGGCCGATGTGAAATACAGATATTATTTTTTACATCGTTGCATAAAAATATATTTTACGACAGGAAATTCATGTGGCATAATGAAAAATTAAATATTATTAATATTAAGAATCATTGGCTTGCGCATGGCGACGCGTCGCCACAAGGTACAAGCTACTACATAATAATATAGACTGTATATATGTATCTATACTTTTATCTTATAACGTGACGACGCGTCACCGCGACATGCGTCGCCACGCCAGCATCAATCCACAGACACAACCCACTGAGTTTCTTGCCGGATCTTCTTAGTGGGTCGCGTTTCCGATTCGGTGGTAGATTCTGCGAAGCACTGCTCTCACCAGGGCTAGTGTTAGCAATGTCGTCAGGTTAGAGCCCCGTGAGGTCACTGACTAATTCTGTAAATCTAGTTTACTAGATTACTAGAATAGGCAGGAAACAAACAACACGCCAGCAATGGGTTTTACCTGAGGCTATAGATATGTCAAATCAAAAAAGTTGCCATATATGTTGATCGGCAACTCTGTCCACTAGCCCGTGTACCTTATATACAACACAACATGAACCACGTCAACTTAAAACACGAAAATCAAATATTTATTGCGTTGTATTCTATCTGTCCAACTCTACAATTTGTAACTTTCAAACATTATGCGGCCAAAAATTACGTCTTTTTTTTTTATTGCTTAGATGAATGGACGAGCTCACAGCCCACCTGGTGTTAAATGGTTACTGGAGCCCATAGACATCTACAACGTAAATGCGCCACACACCTTGAGATATAGTTCTAAGGTCTCAGTATAGTCATAACGGCTGCCCCACCCTTCAAACCGAAACGCATCACTGCTTCACGGCAGAAACAGGCGGGGCGGTGGTACCCACCCGTGCGGACTCACTAGAGGTCCTACCACCAGTAATTACGCAAACTATAATTTTGCGGGTTTCATTTTTATTGCACGATGTTATTCCTTCACCGTGGAAGTCAATCGTGAACATTTGTTGAGTACGTATTTCATTAGAAAAATTGGTACCCGCCAGCGAGATTCGAACACCGGTGCATCGCTCGATACGAATGCACCGGACGTCTTATCCTTTAGGCCACGACGACTTCAGATCTCGTCGACGTCTTACCAATCTCTATAATTTTGCAACCTAATACAATAATACATACGAACACGATATGTGCACACACGATAAATAAAAATTCTACCGAAGTAGTATTAACACTTAAAACACTTAACAAACACTGTAAAATTCTTAATTCGCTTCTTCCGCTTCGCTTCAGGTGATCCGTTCGCTGTTTCGTTTCGAGTAGTTCCGATTACTAACTGCCTTCGTGACATCCCTGTGACGCTTTTATAGTCGATACGATGACATCCCTAGAATTATCGAGAACATTCCTCACAAGTCGAGTATTTTCAATATGCGTTTCCGCTTATAACAATAGATGGCGTTGTATTTCTCGAGCGTTGACTTTACTACTTCTTTTGATATTCGTTTCTACTATTCGACAATAGATGGTATTGCTCTACCGGCATAACAATACTTTACCGACAAGATAACCTTCTGCTTCACATTTCATGATTAATAATTAATGTTTAAATAGGTGTGGGAAGAGACCGAATCGCTGATTCCGGAGTCGGACTCTATAAGCGCCGGCTGGAGCAGAGATCATCAGACGGCCCACGCCAGGAGGCTCTGCGGAGACTGGAGCGGGAAACTGAAGCTGTTGCGTTACCGATCGCGAAGCAACGCCATACGGCTTAGGTTCAAGGCGGACCACTCGAGGCACTTCGCGGGATACCGGGCTAAAGTCACCGTTGCGGATGGTGAGTTGAAATCCCACATCATAAATTTGAGCCTAATGGTAAGCAGCACCTATTTCTGACACGAAGCAGTCATGCGTTTCGGTGTGGATGGAGAATGTTGGTTGATGTCTATGGGCTCCAGCATACACTTCAGACTAAGTGGGCCGTGAGCCTGACCACTCAACTAAGGCATAAGAAAGTACTTTAACAGTATTATAACAGTCTTAAAAGGTGTGAAGTGTATGGAGTTGAATTTTTATATATACTAGAGGTCCCGCAGTAGTCGACATTCGACTATAACTACATAATAGGAATTGTCAGTTTGTACACTATTATAATTGTATTTTATAATTCTATAATCACAGTTTTCGCCAAGACTACACTATATAATAAAAAATATTAATAAAGACAAACAATATTTAATCTATTCTCAATTTGACCACAGACGTCAAGAACAAAAGTTTGACAATAAATAGTATGCATGCGTGTGTGCGTCAAATACATGGTATGTAGTGTGTGTAATGTTTTCTTTATTGATTTAATGTATCTTTTATGCAATATTTTAAAAAAATATTAGCATTGTGCACTTCTTCTCTATATTCTCTATAAGTGTAGAAAATTTCATACTCCTCCGTCCGCGCAATTTTCGTAAAAAGGGATACAAAGTTTTTGCTTCACGTATTAATATATAGATTAATGATATTGGGTACTTCAGAGTGAATAAACAATAAAAAGCTTAACTGCTTAGAGACGAGGGTTTAATAAGCTATACAAAACTGAGCTCTCTTTTTACTCAATGACAGACTTTACTCTATGACATTGAAGAAAAATCCTTTTTTTTAAACTAAAGATTTATAAATAATAAAGGTTTTTCTTTACATATATACATACATATAATGCCGCTATAACTAAATTTTCGTGATGTGAAAAGTTTGAATTTGATCTGAAAAGAAGCGGACATTATCTTTATACACAAAACCTGGAAAACCCAAAAACGAATCTACAAGTTACCGACTGATAAGCTTTATGCCATCTATAGATATTACTTATACAAGTATACTGTTTACTCTAGTAGCCCGCACCCGCATTAACTCCCTCCAAGTCATCCAATTCCATTTCTACCGCAGGATAGTAGTCGTAGCACCGTGGAATGTGAGGAATATAGATCTTTACGACCTGACCTGACCTCACCAGATCGGTTTCTCGCCGGATCCTCATCTTAGTGGGTTGTGATTCCGATCCGGTGGTAAATTCTCAACAACAATCCTCTCAAACTGAGTCCAGAGAATAGGTAAAGAAAATAAAAATGAAAATCAACATAGATTATGCATGCAGAGTACAGGTTAACTCATCGAATAGAAAAGTCGGTTGTTCCAGAACTAATTGACAATTCTCATTGAATACAAAAAACATTAAAAAAAACAGTTTCCTCCCTGTGTTTCAAGAAACTTCCATTGGTACAAAGCACTAGGACTTTTCAATGTAATATTTCGTAACTTTAGTGAAATCCGTAAAAGTTTTGCATTGTCCGTTGCGTGTCGGGTTTGGTTTCTAAGCGAACGAAGCAGGCCGGATGTTCCGTCGGCAAGTTTATACCGACATTACTATACCCTCAATACTGTTGAGAAGCAATTCGAACTGAGGAATTAAAGTTTTATTTATTTTTCCTACCTATGCTGATAGCTTTGAGAGGCTATTTCAACTTCACTCTAACGTATAGGTGAGCTCACGAGGCTCAACCGTAAGTGTTGGTAGCACTGGGCCTAGCAAGAGCAGTGCTTCGCAGAATCTACCACCGGATCGGAATCACGACCTACGTAGACATATGATCCATTCTTTTTGTGTCGGTTAAAGAAAATATTGAATAACTATTATTAATTTTAATAAAATACCAAAAATAGCAAAATCATATTATTTTGTTTCGGTTTCCGCACGTCATAGACACATTAATTAAATCATACTATTCTTTACGGTGATTGCTGAATACTAACTTTACTTACACTGTAATCTACTTTGCAATTACGATAATAATTACTGTAATACTTTACTTTTTGTTGTAATGCATTCGTAAGGTTAGAAGCTATATAGTTACAATATAAAACCCGTAAATGAGTCGTCTATTATCAAAGGTGGCAATCTGTGCATTTGGACAAAAATTTTTTATTGATATGTCAATACAGATTTATTTGAATATAATCGTCTCCTTCAAAGAATACGGTTCAAAACCTGCATTAAATAAAGGTTAATAGTTAACCTGTTATTTATCTAAGATGTCGTTCCGAAGAGTTTTGTGACTGCCAATGGAANGACTGCCGGCGCAGCAGCCCGGCGTCACCTGCAATAACGCGGCCGCGCGTTGGCTCCTGATTGGCGCGCGCACGCATCACGCAATCAGGAGCCAATCAGGCGCATAACGCATTTCGTGTGACATGCTAGTACGATTTTGGTCCCCATAATTTTCATACCCCGGGCCTATATATGTAAATCGATTCTAAAGGAGTAAACTCCAAAAAAAAAACTTAGACTTCTGCCTTCTGTCTAGAGTTAGTATGTTTGAAGTATTCATATCGTGTTTTTATTTTGATTTATTGCAAATGGGGGGGGGGTGGACGAGCTCACAGCTCACTTGGTGTTGAGTGGTTACCATAGCCCGTAGACATCTACAGCGTAAATGCCGCCACCCACCTTGAGATATGAGTTCTAAGGTCTCAGTACATTTACAACCGCTGCCCCACAGCAGAAATAGGCAGAATGGTGGCATGACCTAACCGCGCGGACTCACAAGAGGTCCTACCACCAGTTGTTAATTGGATCGGGTAAGTAGAGAGCTCGTCTACCCATAAAGCGTTTCCTATTGAAAATCTGTTTAGTGTTTGATTTCTCTTTCTCGTTAAAAGGCGAGCTCTATTATAAAATAATGGAAGATCTGTTAATTAAGTTTTATCAAAACTTGACATTCGATTTAAAACTTATCGTTTAATTCAACTTACAACTCAAGCCGAGAGTTGTGAACACGATTCATTCATTTTTCAGTTTTCAACATAAAAACATTTGTGTGATGAACCGATTTCTTTGCTCTTTATCTGGGTTTTTATTATCTATTATATACATACTTACATATATATATAAGTATGTATCCGGTACCCATAACACAGGAAGCCTAATTTGGGGCAAATCAAATCAAATGATTTGATTTATCTATTTGGAATGTAACTAACTTATTTCTGAACAGATATTAATTGAGTTAATTACTGGACTGTATTTATGTTAAATTGTTTATTATTAAGACACATCCACACGCCACGGACTGATTCTGCTCGCCAGTAAACAATAATTTGTTTTACTTTCATCTGATTAGTATGGCATTAAGCAGACATATTCCCCAAAAGCTTTAAGAACTCACGATCAAAATACAATTAATATTCAATTATCAACCATAATAATATTGTGGTCATTTGTATGTACCACAAATGTAATTGTTTCGAACGAACAATGAGTTGAGTGAAGGCCGTCTAAAGATGAATAGATACGGCATGCGGATAATCCTACGAAGATGGATTACTATTGCTTCATTCATTAAATTAGACGCGAAGGCTACAGTATATTGCGTCGTTGGGATTAACATTTTTGTATGGGATTATAACGTTTCATATTTATTCTGCGCTACAATTCAGTGTGTTCGACAATTTTAATGATGGTATTGCTAAAAAAATGAGCTATCGCGGGAAGGATGGCAGATGTGAAATACAGATATTATTTTTTACATCGTTGCATAAAAATATATTTTACGACAGGAAATTCATGTGGCATAATGAAAAATTAAATATTATTAATATTAAGAATCATTGGCTTGCGCGTGGCGACGCGTCGCCACAAGGTACACGCTACTACATAATAATATAGACTGTATATATGTATATATTATACTTATATCTTATAACGTGACGACGCGTCACCGCGACATGCGTTGCTACGCCAGCATCAACCCACAGTCACAGCCCATTGAGTTTCTTGCCGGATCTTCTCAGTGGGTCGCGTTTCCGATCCGGTGGTAGATTCTGCAAAGCACTGCTCTTGCTAGGGATAGTGTCAGCAACGTCGTCAGGTTAGAGCCCCGTGAGCTCACGTACTTGTTCTATGAATCTAGTTTAACCCCTCGAGATTACTAGAATAGGCAGGAAACAAACAACACGCCAGCAATCGGTTTTACATGAGCATCAAATAGGTTTTACTTGGAATTTAATATTCGTTTCTGCTATTCGACGATAGATGGCGTTGTTCTTACCGACGCAACAATACTTTACCGACAAGATAACCTTCTACTTCACATTTCATGATTAACGATTACTATTTAAATAGGTCTGGGAAGAGACCGAGTCGCTGATCCCGGAGTCGGACTCTATAAGCGCCGGCTGGAGCAGAGATCATCAGACGGCCCACGCCAGGAGGCTCTGCGGCGACTGGAGTGGGAAACTGAAGCTGTTGCGTTACCGATCGCGAAGCAACGCCATACGACTCAGGTTCAAGGCGGACCACTCGAGGCACTTCGCGGGATACCGGGCTAAAGTCACCGTTGCGGATGGTGAGTTGAAATCCCACATCATAAATTTGAGCCTAATGGTAAGCAGCACCTATTTCTGACACGAAGCAGTCATGCGTTTCGGTGTGGATGGAGAATGTTTGTTGATGTCTATGGGCTACAGCATACACTTCAGACTAAGTGGACCATGAGCCCGTCCGCCCAACTAAGGCATAAGAAAGTACTACAACAGTATTATAACAGTCGTAAAATGTGTGAAGTGTATGGAGTTGAATTTTTATATATATTTAATGATATTGGGTACTTTAGAGTCAATAAGCAATAAAAAGCTTAACTGCTTTGTATGTTATACTCGTATGTATAATAAGAAATCAACATTTGAAGCCGTTAATCTCTTTTAAAACTAAATAAATTAAACAGTAAACAGTATATTAATAAACTATACAAAACTGAGCTCTCTTTTTACTCAATGACAGACTTT